GTGGGGGGGGGGGGGGGGGGGGGAAAGAAAAAAAAATGGCAGCGGCTATTTGCACCAAGTGTAAATAGTGATAGAGCCTATTTACACTAAGTGCAAATAGCAATAGATGCCATTTACACTAAGTGCAGATAGCGATAGATTCTATTTACACTATGTTAAAATAGCAGGATTTTCTGCTATTTATACTACTTGATGCAAATAGTGGCAATTATCTGCACTTCAGTATTGTAGTACATTATAAAACAATATGCAGTAATAACGTATTGAGTGTAAATTATAATTTTAATTGAAATTATTAAATGGATGACACGTTATTGGTACAATAAAGCTGTTTATTTACAGTCGCTTTTAAAGTGTTGACTAGCCCAATCACACGTTGCAGGGCAGAATTACTGTACATAGCCTCTGCCAACAAGGCGGGCTATTTGCACTAAGTGTAAACCGTATTGCAACGCATCAAAGCAGTCAATCCAACACACTCAAGAATAACTTAAAGAGGTTGCCACCATTTAGGTAAACTGTTAACTAGCTTTGGCTCTTCCTGCTGACTTGAATGGTGATGCTTCCCATTTGTCAGTTGATGGCATTTCATTGCACGCGGCTTTTCTGATGTTCACTTAAGTTTTCCGTGTCTTTTTCCCGTGTCACTTGAAATGTTTCCATTTTGAATCGTTGTTACCACAAAATAAATGATCAGTTGTGGGACTATATTCTGTCATAAATCGCACACAATTCATTGCTAAACTTTCTACCGACCGTTACTGGAAATTAAATTACTGGTTGATATGTCCCGATCTCAATAAAGTTTACACACGCTTTTGGTCCGTGAATTAGATCTAACTCGGGACGCGCGGTGTCTGTGGAGGTTTGGCCAGGACCGGTTCCAGAATTAAATCAACATATTTTATGTTGAAATTCTGAATGGATTACAGGCCTACCCTAGAAAGTGCGCTCCCTTTATCACTAAAAAGCACCACTCATCTTCGCTCATCGCGATCTTACAAAGTTCCGTTATAATCAATGAAGCTTTCTAAACTGTAAAATGAATCTCTTATTTACATCGCGTCTGCACTTAGTCATGAGATGATTCACAAGCGTGCAAAACTGCACTTAAAAACTGCGGCACTTTCAGTGGTGAGTGAATTCTGACGTTCAAGAAATCAACAGATATGTCTGTGATTGGTTACATTGCTTAATGCTGCAAAAACACATTGAGGGTATTTTGTGCTTAAGCACTCCAATTGCAGTGGGGCCGACATCAGGGATTCCATGAATAACAATTTGGGGGGGCAATTTCCCCCACTTGCCCCCACTAATGTCACCCATGGGTGTGACAATACACTTAGCTCACAAGGTAAGACAAAATGCAGATACTTGATTCATTAGAACGAGACAATGTTTTAATACTTTAAGAAATTTTCAAATGACAAAATATTTGTCTTTTAATCACAAAAAGTAAAACAATGCAATTGTATTTTGAAATGTTTTAACTAGGGATGCATGATATTGGATTTTTGCCGATATCCGATATGCCGATATTTTTCAACTCATTTGGCCGATGGCCGATAGCCGATGCCGATACCGATATATTTCCTTTTGTTTGGAAACACCAAGTCTCTCCAGTGTGGAAATTATAATGAAATAATTTTTACTTTTGGTTAGTTTTTAACAAGAACTTATTTGTTAGAATTAAATAAACAATAACAAAGTTATTTTATAATGACAGTACATTGAAGCTTTGAAAATAACTATAAATAAACTATATATCAATTGCTGCATTGTTTTTAATTATTTAATTTACAAGTGTCATGTTTGTGATTGTTTTTTTATTTATGTAAGCTATAGCTTCTGGCCTTTAAATCAAAACATACTCATGATTTTATAACATCATTTACTGCTTTATTTAATCAGAAACACAGTCTAAATGTTTTTTGTGTATTTTACTTTCATTTTATTAGAAGTAGGCCAACAGCGCCCCCTACAGAATTAAAACTCCGTACTGAGCGGGCATTAGGATCCGGGGGAGGCTGCCGCTGCTGCCACTGCATGCGCTATTACTGTTTACTCTATCACACACCGAACGCATCATTCTGTATATGCATTCTCAGTTTAAATGCAGCGATCCAAAACATTAATCCAATTACCACATGAGCCACACTGCTGACCTGATCTAATCACTAGCACATCCTGAGCACATGTGAGTTAACGTATTCCTCCTATCGGCAAGACATAACGGCATCATTTTTCATACCGTGCCGATATGTACATTTATAGCCATTATCGGCCGATTCCGATATTTTAACTAATCTAGGGCTTAACTAATGATTATTTTGCTAATCAAGTAATCTACTGATTATTTTGACAAGTATGTTTTAGTAATACAAACAGAACTAAGAAAAACAGGCTTTAATATGACTATATTTATATATAAAGTAACGATGAGGCAATAATAATTGGCCTCAAATAAAGTATCAAAACCAAGTACATGGTTTTATTGAACAACACTGTAATATGCCTATATTATAACAAATACCTGCAGAGGGCGCCAACGGCCTGGTGATGTTTCATGTATTTCAACGACGTTTAAATCCATTTAATGTCAATATTTGGCCACATGCAAAGTCAGAAACTTTTATTTTGAAATCACGATGTACAATAAATCGCATATTTAGAAATATGTTGATGTATTCTCCTTTGTTGGCATAGGTTTAAATGATTTACGTTACAAATCAAGTGAGGAACGTGATATCAACAAGTGTTTTTAAATGTAGGGGTTTTTAAATGTAGGATGACCATCCTTTTTCCCGCAGCCAAATGCCGCAAGCCGGAGATCCGGCATGGTGCCGGAGAACTTTAAGCCCTGAATCATTCTAATATGCTGATTTATTATTAGTATTATCAATGTTGGCAACAGTTGTGCTGCCAAATATCTTTTTGGAAACTGCAATACTTTTGGAATAAAAATTTACTGACCCCAAACTTTTGAACTGCAGTGTATATTGTTAGAAAAGATTTATATTTTAAATAAATGCTCTTCTTTTTAACTTTTTATTCATCAAAGAATCCTGAAAAAAAGTATCACAGGTTCCAAAAAAATATTAAGCAGCACAACAGTTTCCAGCACTGATAATAAATCAGCATATTAGAATGATTTCTGAAGGATCTTGTGGCACTTTATACTGGAGTAATGGCTGATGGAAATTCAGCTTTGCATCACAGAAATAAATGATATTTTAAAGTATATTAAAATAGAAACCATTATTTTATATTGTAATAACATTTTGCAAGATTACTGTTTTTTTTTCTGTATTTTTGATCAAATAAATGCAGCCTTGATGAGCATAAGAGACTTCTTTAAAAAACATTACAAGTGTTACTGATCCCAAACTTTTGAACGGTATTGTATAACAACAATTATTATTGTATAAGTTATTATTATTATTGTGGTGGTTAAATTATTACATACAAACCATGGCATAATAATAATGATATTTAATATATTATAATAACATTTACACTATATATGACAACAATATTATATAATGTTTGTTGTTGTTGTTAAATTATTTTATAAAGACTTAATTTCTATATAAATACAATAATAAGAATAGTAATTACTATTATTATTATTATTATATTATAAAACAATAATAATTATTAGAAAACTATGAATATATAATAATTATAATTTTATAATATATTTACTAATAATAATCAATAGTAGTAGTACTTACTATTCTTCTTCTTATATCTTTATCTAGAAATCAAGTCTTTATAAAATAATTTATTAATATTAATAATATATAACAGAAATTATAATGAATATTATAGATTGTTGTGTGATCTTGAACCTCCGACTCACCATGGAGGTCTCATCCAGCAGCTGCCTGAAATGTTCCTTCTTCCTCTTGGTAAGAGCCTCCACGTGTTCTTCAAACAATTTCTCCTTCCCATGTCGCTCCAGCAGAGCAGCAGACTCCCACCGGTGGTCTTTACGCAGATTGTGCCTCGTTTCTGACCAGGAAGCATCCGTTGACCTTACCTATATGTACAATAATAACGAAAAAATTAAAAAGTGTCTATGATTAATGTCATGTACAATGACAAATACAGCAATTGTCACTGACCATATCTGACATGAGTGCTTTAAAGTGCTGGACAGCTTCCTCTCGTTTATGCTGCTCTCTCTCTCTGTCAATCTCTTTGGTTTGTTCAGACCGAGCTCTCTGCACCTCCCGCTCTCTCTCCCTCAGACTGGCCTCGATACGAGCCTGCCGCTCCAGCTCTTTCTCCTTCTCTGCGTCCATGTTCTACACAACACAAAGACACTTATATTAAATACATTTTTCTAGTAGCAGTCCAAGTCGTCTTGGTGTTTCGTTCTGATGAATCAATAAGACCAGGGACACTGTTCTAACCTTCGCCTGCTTCTCCACATACTGTTTGTACAGTTCTTCTCTAGCAGCGGAGCTCTCCACGGCTTTGTAGCGCGGGTCCGTCTCCAGCTTGTCCTTCACTTTGCTCCAGCGCTGAGAGATGTCCACATGGTGGTCTGACAGTAAATCGAAGAAGTCCTGCTTCACCTGCAGCCAGAAACAACTTGTCAGGGCTCAAATTCAACCTTAATTCTATCAACATCCTGTCGATTCAAGTGGACATTTCAGGATGGTTGTGGGAAGCCGTTGACAGACCTTTTCTACTTTGTTTTTGGAGTCTCCCTTGTCCTTCTTTCTCAAGGCTGTCATGAACTCGGTGAACATGGCCTCTCTGTCCTTCATCTTCTCAATGGCCTTGAAGCGAGGATCTTTAGAGTGTTTTGCTGCAAACTCACTGAACGTGGTTCTAATAGGTGAAAGGAAAATTGGCATAAGTGGCAAGATTTCAGGAGGCCACACAATACCTGTACAACCTACAACACACCTAGGGCTGCACGATAAATCACATGCGATATTTAATGCGCATCTTGTCAGAAAGCCGGTTCTGTAATCAGCGGTAAATCTCCATCACGTGCGTGCTTTCACATTGAGCAGCATTAACTACACAGGGCCGTTGTTCACTGACGAGCTGCGCAAAAAAATCGCACGAATATGAACGTGGTTTTGCGCATTAAGATGCGCGTTAAATATCGCATGCGATTTATCGTGCAGCCCTAAACACACCTATTGTGAAGTTTGGCATCTTCCATCATCTTCCTGAAGTCCTCTTTAGCCTGCATGAGTTTATTCTTCTTCTCCTTCCTCTCCTCTTCAGCACGAGTCTTCACGTACTGATCGAACACCTGCACAGCGAATGGAGATTAAAATCACAAAGCTGCCCACTTCTGCTCATTCAGCAAACCACTAACCTCTTACCTGTTTCCTCTCTTTGGGGTTGAGCAGCAAATATCGAGGGTCAAACACAATCTTGTGCAGCTCTTTGTCCCAAGTGGAAAAAGCTGAAACCTGCAGGTATGGAGTGGACAAAAAGATGGCTTACCAATGCACCAGAAAAATGGTAAAACAACACTTCAAGTTAATTAATTAACAAACATCATATGTGACCCTGGACCACAAAACCAGTCATAAGGGTCAATATTTTAAAATTTAGATTTATACACCATTTATACACCATATCTCAAAGCTAAATAAATAAGCTTTCCATTGGTGTATGGTTTGTTATGATAGGACAATATTTGGCTGAGATACAACTATATGAAAATCTGGAATCGGAGGGTGCAAAAAAATCTAAATACTGATAAAATCGCCTTTAAAGTTGTCCAAATGAAGTTCTTAGCAATGCATATTACTAATCAAAAATTAAGTTTTGATATATTTACAGTAGGAAATTTACAAAATATCTTTATGGAACATGATCTTTACTTAATGTCCTACTGATTTTTGGCATAAAAGTAAAATCAATCATTTTGACCCATACAATGTATTTTTGGCTATTGCTACAAATATACCCCAGCGACTTAAGACTGGTTTTGTGGTCCAGGGTCACATATGGGAGTGACTTAAAGAGCTTAACTTGTATTAAACCCACAACATTCCTTTAAAACCATATAAAATTACAATAATACACAACTGAAATCTTTATGAGTCAACACCTACAATTACTACCACTGCAAAATACCGATAGACATGGACATTAAACAAATGTTTAGCTTCCACGTATATTTTAATGTGATTAAATAAAATCAAGCAATGCAAAATACTTGACCATTATACAATGCAACAGTACATTCTTCTGTGATAAATAATAGTAATTATTTGTCATTTCATGCAACAATTTAGGACCAAAGATGACAGATAGAGATTCTAGTATGAACAGTGACAAGAGAGGGCACCAACACTACTGTCAAGTAGGACTGGGCGGTATGACTATTTGTTGCACATTATTTACAATTGTTATTCTCTTAAGGGCAATTCTGTATAACACTCGCTCATCCAGGTATATGTCAGTGCTTCTTTCATATATTTTGATATCACATCATGGACTCAATCTCTCATTTATTTAACCGGTGCATTCTTTTGTCTCAGTTATAGACTGCGCTGAAAATGAAATAGGAGGACTTCAGTATATAATACTGCTGAGGTGCTCGTCTTGTTGCCAAGACAAACAGATATGATTTAAAAAAAGTTTCAATTCATATCAATGTGTCATGCCAACAAAGTTATTTTATAGTAAGTGGTATGACTCTACATTATCACTTAAATGTTCACCTACTTACATTCATTTGAGTTTAATAAAGGTTTACTGTATATTAATAAAACATTCCTCTATAACTCAAAACAACATATGATGTCCAATTATTTACCTATGATGTACCTCTTGAAAAAAAGTGTGTAAAATAACTAATCTTGCCCCAATCACATCACAGTCTTTATGTCACTGAATTGTTTGCGGACACCATAAAAATGAATGAGAAGTGCCATATACACGGAATTCTAACTGTTGTAAAATTGATTTGTGACTTCTCTCATAAAACTGCATTAAAAACTAAATCCAAAAATAATATTGAATTGCTAACTTGTTGAAAATTAGCCCACAAGCTGCTGGTTAAGTGATATTTCCTCACAAAAGCACTTTATTAAACATACTGAAGCCTCTCCTACATCGACAAAGCAATAACTAAAGCGGCATCCTCTCTGGCACACCCAATGTTGCAAATTGTCCATATTTCAGACAAACCAATGGTTGTTAAATATGCAAACTTTTTTTCTCAATTAATTTCCAGCATAAATTACCTGTGAACTTATGATAAATAACTAATTATAGTGATGTACACAATTACCACGATATAAACACTGTGATAGAAGATTTTGATCATATCGCCCATCCCTATAGTCAAGCACAAATCATCTAACACGACCTCACTCAGAGCAATTCAGAAAGGACAGGTAAATATATGGAGGGACAGAAAGAGCAGAGAGAAATGTAAGACTCTATATTACATAATATTAAAGAATGATAATAACAAGAATGAACTCAAGATTGTACCTTGGTGGGCTTCCATTCAGATTTATGTGTCTAACATTACAGAGCTGGTAAGAGTATTGCGTTGGATTGAAGTGTTTTACCCCTCTCTCCAGCAGCATGTCCCTGAACTGGTTCACGCGGGCCTCCAGGGGCACCAGGGCCCGATCGCGAGTGGCCTTCAGCTCGGCCTCCACGGCTGTGTCTTTCTCTGCGTCAGCCTCCTTTATATCGTCCTTCCTGTCAGGGAGAAGAGGACGAGTGTAAGGAAGAACTTAATTTTATAAAACTTTTTTCTTTTTTGCTTCTACGCTTGTTAAAAAAAAAAATAATTGGAGAGGATCTCTGAAAATGGAAGATTCCCCCCTTATATTGTTGAGAGAAGTGACAACTCTATCGAACAGAAATCTAATTACTACAACTATCAAATGATTGAGATATTTACATCTCATAATATTTTTGTAGTTCCTTTTAAGGAAAAAAAATATACTTCTAGAAACCGCTCAAAACAATAAAAAAATGTGGTTGTTGTCAAATTGAATAACAACTAACGGCATATAGTAATTAAACCATATTTAAGTTATAGAATGTGTCAATATTTGAATTTTGACAGCCCTACTATACAAATTTATTTGAATTTGAGAAAGCGTGTTCTAAGATTGTCTAAGCACTGCATTATCCTCGAAATCTGCGCATCAACGGGTTATTTTGCAATTTGCAAGTGAGAAGAGATGTCAAGTACAAATATGTTTGTGTTTTTGCGTTCAGTTTTTTTGAAAATAAATCCCATCAATTACATCAATACACATCACTGAAGGGCTGAAGGTTGGATTGGTTCACTGGGGTTTGCCTAATGGAGGCTAAAGAGAGGTCAAACATGGTGGGTTACCTTGGAGGCCCACGTTGGCATCGCCAGAGCTTAGAAGCATTCCCTGAAAAATAGTCCCCAGTGCAACAGGACCACTGTTTGGGGTCAGGGGGAGGCAGGCGTGAAGGGCACTGATGGGAAACAGTGACTGATTTGATTTGGTAAATGTCATGGAGTCACCACTTTTCACAGACCCAAACTAAAGATTACCACAGCTAAGACAAGTCAGCATTGGGTGAACAAAAAAAACAAAAAAAAGAAAGAAAATTGCCGCCGAAGATTTCTTTAATTGTGACATAAAATGGTCCAATCAACATGTCTTAGCTCAGGGCTTGAACGGAAACAGCCCCATTTCCTTTTCTCTTCATATGACAAGAAATACAATTTTCATGTCGCTTCTAATTTTCTTCCGTATAGTACAAAAGCTAGGTGTTCTGCAGGGGTGAGTGTTCTGCCCCTTATCGTTCCTGCTGAGGGCCGTTGGTACTTACTTCCTCTTCTTAGCCTTAGAAGGCTCATCGTCCAGTGTGTCCTCTATGGTTGTGTCAATCACCTCTTTGTTGAAACCTGCAATGAGCAATAAAGGTGTGTGTTGGTTTTGCTATGATACTATCAACAAATCTTAGTTCACAAGCAATCTAAAACTGTCACAGAGGGTTTCACCTATTTTCTTGTTGTCATCTAGCCCCCTTTTGTGGGGGGGTTCTTGAATGTATTTGTGCACATCAGCACGTCCCACCAGCTCCTCAGGTCGGTCCCACATGGACAGTCGTGTGGTGGGGTTATAGTAAAACACACAGTCATCTCCAGTCCAGACTACACACCTAAAAAAAAAAACAAATATGTACATTTTTTTATGAAACCTTTTGAACAAACTTGCAACCTTTAATCACTGAAGCAACGGAGAAGGAGAAAGGCTCACCAGGGAGTACCAGGAATTGGGTTTGTGGCAACAGGTTTTGCCTTCTGAGCTGCTTTTTCCTCCTCTGTCATGTCTTCTTCCCTGGGCAACTACAACATCAAAACATTCTCAAAGTTTGCTTTAAACAAATCTAAATGACCTTGCAAACTTTAGACTTACCTCTTTAGAACCACCAAAGCTGCCAGCTTTGGCTTCCATGTCTATATCCTTTAAAACTGAATCATCATTGTTATGGCCATCTTTAGCCTTGTCACTGTCCTTATCTGCTCAGAAAAATAAAATATTTTTCTGAATATAACATAGGCAGTTCAAAATTTTGGGTTTAGCACAGCGAGTCAATAATAATGGTCAGTGCAGTTAACAACAGCAACAACAGACCTGAGGCTTCACGCCTTGCTTACCTCTCTCTTTTAGCTCAGCAGGCTTTTCCCAGATGGACTCCAGAGTGCGATTGTTATAATAATACATCTTCCCATCAGCTGTCTTGTACTCAGACCATTCTGGAAGTGGAAGAGCCCCCCTAAGAGATGCATGAGCTGCAGTGATAGCTAGCTGGGGATGCATCATGGGTACTAGAGGGGCCATCCCTGGCAGCACACCTTTAAACATAAATTGTATTCAGCAACAAATTAAAAAAAATAAAAATTATAATAATAAAAAAATTATATTACACACACACATATACATACACAAAACACACAATCTAGATATCTCTAGATATCTGGATTTCCCACTGAAAACTCTGTATGACCACTTATTTTAAAGCTGTAGAAACCATAACATACTCATGACTTAAGATTATTAATCTTGATAACATTTCCGTGCTTAGAAATCAATTTTTTAAAATATTTGTAGTGCGCAATACTAAGTGTAAGTCTATGCACCTTGTTCACATCACTCTGTAAGAAGAGGGCGCCATCTACTGGTTGAGTTTTTCCAAGTATACATTCAGTGGAGGACTGCTACATTTGCTGGCCTGTTTAGCTAAACTAGGCAACTCAACTTATTTTTACAATTATTTTTTTTTCTTTCTACGTACCAGGCAGTGGGATGTGCATGCCAGGTAGGGGCACTCTGAATGGAGGTACCATGAGCGGGGGAAATGCTGAGATTGCAGCAGCTGGCTGGGCCACGGGCAGGCCAGGAGGGAGACTTTGAGGCAACAGCGGCATTGTCTGCACTGCAGTGACCGTAGCGGTTACTGTAGGAACACTGACCACAACAACAGGAGTCACACCTACACTGGCCGGAGATGTAGAGGCCACTGAAGGCATCTCAGAAACAACAGAAGCTACAGGAAGAATATAGCAAAGGGAAGAATGAATGTGTGTTTAAAGATAATATCAAGAGAAAACACTGTATATTTATCATATTGGCCATGAGTACTCAATTTTATAAGGGCAGTTTGTATTTTATAGGCCACTACATGACCCGTAATTCCTTCTCTGTGTGTAATACTCACTTGTGGAGGGTTGGGAGGCAGCGGGGGCTGGACTGGTGCTGGGGTCAGGACTGGTGCTGAGGGTGTGGTTGGGGGACAGGCTCTGAGTGGAGACTGGCTCGGGCACAACCGTGGTAGCGCTGCTGGAGGTAGCTGCAGGAGCCGCTGCAGCTCCTCCGGACTGAGCTACCATTAGAGGATTGAGCCCTGACTGCTGGATGATCTTTACTCCCTCTGGTTTGGTCCAGGCCGACTCACGTGTCCGGGCATTGTAGTAATATACCTGGAAGAATGTGGTGGGAAGGTTTTAAAAGTCCAAGTATGCTAATGCAAGGATTGGGTCAGATCGGTTGACTAGCTGTCCAACCACTATCCAGATCAACCAGGAATTGCTATAAAAAGTGGTAAAAAAAAATACCATGAAGAATATAAGTCTTGTTTTTTATCATCTGAAACATGCTGTGGCTTAAATGTCATGAAAGTCAAGCATGCAAAACATACATAAAGCACACACATTTGGATTCATGCTGAAATAGAGAGGTAGGTGACTCATGTTTATTTGTATAGCACATTTCTCAACAAACTGGTAATAACTGAATGGACATTAATGTTTCTAGATTTGTGGAGTAAAAATGTTTTATTTTGAAATGAAAATATGATTTGTGGAGTAAAAAGTTTTTATTTTGAAATGAAAATATAAAAGTAGACCTTTGGGGTTATGATGCCCAAAGAAGGCCCAAAATGGCATGTTGCTATGTGCACATCTGTGATCATTTTACAATTTAATACTTATTGTAATTCAAATGGTTATTATTTAGTGGCACAATTCTAGAGAAATTGGGAATCGCAATTAATTTTTTTGTAATTTTTGTTTAAAATAGAGATCACAATTTTCCTTCAATTCTGAATAGACAACTAAACAAAATTTACTAGAGGTTCTGACAAAATGTTAACTGCTAGTCTATTTTTTTATTTTTGAATTAATTAAAAAAAAGTTGACTAAATGATTCAATGACTACATCATAAGAACTTAACTTGTTTCATTATGGGATGAATCAGTGTTTTTAAACAAATCTCTTTAAAGAATTATTGAATGACAAATAGAATTTTTAAAAGTACTTGTCGCCACCTACTGGCACAACAACAATTATGAAGCAATCTTTATTTGAAGCTGAAGTTACTTTTAAAAGGTGACTCACTCTTGCGATATCTGAAGTATAAACTTTTATCCCAGTACATCTATGATCATTTTAATGTTTTTTTTTTTAATGCAGAAATTACAATACTGTAACAAGACAGTTTGTGAAGCTGTTCATATCCATTCATGACAACTGCTATCTCTGATACAAATACAATGCAAATACTTGACAAAGATTTAAGAGACATAGGCGAATTGTTGTCACTTAGGAATAAGATTGAGTGGGTATTTAGAACAAGATTGTAATCTTTTAACTATTAAGTGTACAACTCTATTATTCAGTTATATTTATTTTACTTTAAAAGACAGTTTGTCTTTTAGACAGTACCTTTCCTTCTGGTGTGGTGTTCTCTACCCAGATTTCATCACTAGTCAAGCTCGAAACCGCTCCAGTTCCTGGCGATGGAGGCATTCCAGGTGGAAAGATCATACCAGGAGGAGGAGGCATGTTACCCATTGGTGGAGGCATGAACGGCGGCCTCTGTGAAAAACACAACAGGATTTTTGATATTTAAACATTTTAAAGTTACTTTCAATCAGTCTCTTACTGTTTTGGTGCACATATGCACCTACTTTTCTAATAGCACCTACCTGCAAGTGTGGGGGTCCGATAGGTGGGGGTATCGGTGGCATATTGGTGTCAAACAGTGGTCTACCAAAAGGGGGTCTAGGGGGTGGTGGAGGTCCTCTCATCATGATGAAGGGCAGAGGTGGGGGTCGTAGTAATGGAGGAGGTCCTCGTAACACTGTGGTAGGTGGTGGAGCAGGGCTACGAAAACATAAAGCCTGCTGTAACACCATCCTGCGAAAAAAAAAAATCTGTAACTACTAGGGATGCATGATATTGGATTTTTGCCGATATCCGATATGCCGATTTTTTTCAACTAATTTTGGCCGATACCGATACCAATATATTTCCTTTTGTTTGGAAACAACACCAAGTCTCTCCTGTGCAGAAATCATAAGCAAAATATTTTTTCATTTTGGTTAGTTTTTAACAAGAACTTGTTTGTTAGAATGAAATAAACAATAATTAAGGTTTTTTTTGACAGAAAATGGAGGCTTTGAAAATAACTATAAATAAACTATATCAATCGCTGCATTTTTTCCCCCAGAAAGATGCAGTGTTAACCCTAACATTTTATTTTAAGATTTAACATATGTAGATGGTCTAAAGCACCAAAGCAGAGTTGTAAAAATTCTGAAAATCTTTTAGAACTATGATTTGTTTAAAAAATAAAACATATTACACATTAATGAATAAATCAGTATATATAAAATGTTTTAATTTACAAGTGTCATGTTTGTGATTTGTTTTATGTAAGCTATAGCTTCTGACCTTTAAATCAAAACATATTTATTATTTTATGACATCAATTACTGCTTTATTTAATCAGAAACACAGTCTAAATGTTATTTATGTAGGCTATTATACTTTTAATTTAATTAGAAGTAGGCCAACAGTTCGGTAAGGTGTTTTAACAGATTAAAACACCTTACCGAACTGGTGTTAGGCTGCCGCTGCATGTGCTTGCTTACTCTATCATACACCGAATGTGTCATTCTGTAAGTGCTTTCACAGATTAAATGCAGTGATCCAAAAGAGTGAATCTAATCATCATTCAGACAAAACTTTGCTTCAAAAATGAGTCACACTGTTGACGTGATCTAATCACTAGCACACCATGAACACCTGAGTTAACACATTCCTCTTATCGGCAAGACATATCGGCATAATTTTTCAAATTGGGGTGATGCCGATTTTTACATTTAAAGCCATTATCGGCCGATTCTGATATCAGTCCGATAATATCGTGCATCCCTAGTAACTACCAATATTCTTGGTAAGCAAAATCTCAACTTGGTTCAACTTTTCACTGTACACTAAAAGCTAAATGACAAAATGATAAAACTGGTCAAGACATGCAAACGATTCGGTTTATGTGATAACACAGACAGTCAGAAAAAGTGTCAGATGCTAATGAGCCTGGCATGGTAATTTATAGTGTGAAATTATGACGTGACGTGACATGTAGCCAAGTATGGTTACCCATACTAGGAATTAGTGCTCTGCATTTAACCCATCCTTAGTGCACACACACAGCAGTGAACACACACACACCCGGAGCAGTGGGCAGCCATTTATGCTGCGGCGCCCGGGGAGCAGTTGGTGGTTCGGTGCCTTGCTCAAGTCATGGTATTGAAGGTGGAAGAGAGCGCTGTACATTCACTCCCCCCACCTACAATTCCTGCCGGACCTGAGACTCGAACTCGCAACCTTTGGGTTACGAGTCCGACTCTCTAACCATTGAATCATTCATTCAAACTGATTTTAAAAAGTTACATTTTATGTATAAAGTCCCCTATATACATTTATTATGTATTTAATGAATTATAGTGTAAAATATATTATGTAAAAAAAATTGAAATCAATATTCTGAATAGACAACTAAACAAAATGTAACTTTTTAAAATCAGTTTGAATGAATGATTCAATGACTCCCTCATAAAGACTTCACTTGCTTCATTACTGGATGAGTCAGTGTGTTTGAATAAACCTCTTGAAAGAATGATTCGGTGACAAATACATAAGGACTTAATACTTGTACTTAAGGACTCTTTCATTCTTTCTTGTCTCTTGCTTAAAGAAAAAGGCAACTGGTATAAGTCCATTTGCTTGTTAAAAAATATCCAGATTGGTACATCAATATTAAAAGTAAAAAAAAGAAAAAAAAACATGAAAGAGAAGTACATTTATTATTCGTACTTTTGTATATGTATGAATAGGCTTTTGTGGTGAGTAAATAAACTGAATCCCTATCAGGATCATGGTAGGGGTGTGAGTGAAGCTCAACGCTCTTCTTAAATCTTGCCTGCAAATATAATTTAGTCAGAAGCGCAAAGAAGAAAATGGATTTAAGAAATGTTATTGTTTTCTCATTATTAAAATTACTGTAATTTTTTTTATTAACATTCGCCTCGTCTTTATTTTTACTAATTATTAGCAAACTGAGAAAATGTGCATACAAAAATTAACTGTCATAGCGTTTTCATTTTAAGAAATTATTTGGTGATAGTTCTTTATCTAAAACTAGAAAAAAAACACAAACTTGACACTTGTAAATAAAAAAATTGTATACATAATATTTAATCTTCGCTTGTATTTTTTAACCCTTTAAACCTCCCGCAAAAAAAAAAAAAAAAAAAAAAAAAAAAACTGCCTATTTTGTTCCAAAATACTGTAATTTTTGGATACTTTATGCTATCACCACAAAATAGAAACAGATACAGCTAACATGCTGGCGAACATCATCAAAAAATAATGTTCCTCCTACCTTATTTCTGTCCTGAGATATTAAATGTCAAATAAGACAGATTTGAAAAGTACAGAAAGTTTTCTATCAAACGATACCAATCTTTTGACTCTGCTTGCTACAGTCTTTGAGTTAGGAGTCATTATTTTTGTGTATGACAACACCTTTGGTGAGGCAAAAATGCCCTCGGGGCTTAAAGGGTTAATGTATGGGGAAAATCTAGTGGCTTGAGTTGAATATCTTTGCAGCTTGTCAAAAATATAAAAGCAGAACCTGTCACAAGATTTATGCAACAGAGGTGTGCTTTACTGGCCTCACGATTCAATTTTATTATGGTTCAAATTGTAACAATTTATTTTATCGGTACACGCTAAGGTTAGTGTTGTTACCAAAATGTATAACAAAAATACTGAAATGCAACAATTCTTGATAGCAAAGATGAATTTAAAAAAAGCTTATTTTTTAAATCTTTAACTACAAAATTTAAAATTTATAAATAAAAAATGTAAAATCTATATTTTCCAGAACACAAGTAACTTTTTCTGAAATGTGCTAAGACTTATATTCCTTATATAATGCATTTATTGCCAAGCTGCAAAACATTGGCAAAGCACACACTAGTTTATAGGTATGGGGCTTATAATATCCTAAATTTTATGAATGCCACTACAATGTTTACTGTGTTCATAATGTTTGTTGTGTTTCATTTACCGATATTTTATATCACTTCTGATTGTAATAATAACATCATGTGACAAAAACACTGATGCAATACACTGATACAATCTGTGTTTTATTTTTTCTCAACAATGCAATTTTGACCCAAGGTAACTTATACTCTTAGAGCTGCATGATTCCGGATAAACTGAGAATCCGATTTTTTTCGTCTCAAATAGAGATCACGATTCTCACACGATTCTGAACTAAAAATAATGTGTGACAAAATATGATTGCGGCAGTCTATTTAAAGTGTTTAATTTGAATTATTAAACATTTGAATACATATGTATTTAAAATATATTTAATACACCAATTTTTTATATTAAAATTATTAAAAAGTGGTTTGAATGAATGATTCAATGACTCACTCATAAATACTTCACTTGTTTCATTACTGGATGAATCAGCATTTTTGAACAAATCTCTTGAATGATTCAATGACCAATTATTTTTTAACAGTCACTTGTCACACTCACAACAATGCAATCGACACAATGTTATTTGAAGAGCCAGTTACTTTTAAAGGGGTCATATGATGCTGCTAAAAAGAACATTATTTTGTGTATTTGGTGCAATGAAATGTGTTTATGCAGGGATTTGCTCTATTTTGATCGCTACCATAGACATCAATGTTTATATCTGAACTAGCCTATAAACTTTCATCTCAGTATTTCTATGATAATATAAATGACTGTAAGACAGAAATGATACTGTGTAGTTGAAAGAGTGTTTGTGAAGCTGTTTCTTACCCAAACATGGTAAATGTCTGCTCTCCGTGTCAGGTTTGAATGTTCTGGTATGATTTTTTTTCAAAGATTTAATAGACATGGCGAATCGTTGTCATTTAAAAATGGGATCGCATGGGTGTTTGAATTGAGATCGCAATCTTTTAATGATTAATCATGCAGCTCTAACTCAGATGCAACCTATTTTCCGGAAAGTATGTTACTATTTTTTAAAAGTACTTTTTAAAATAATAAACATATAAGCTATTAATAAATGAAAAACATTGCATGAAGTCAACTAAATATAGATTCAAAACATAGCAGCTAATAAATAGTCATTAATATATAAAAAAAAAATAAAAAAAACGGCCACCATACACTTAATACAGACACCAATTCTTGGAAATCCAGGACTAAAGCCCTTTTTTCAATTTTTTTTCTTCCACAGACTCATTACAAAACATAATTTCTTAAATTACCTTTTATTTGCCACATTCTTTATTTCCTCATTCATCCCACATCTTCATCCTTATAGACTGTAAAAAGAACAATGTAAACTGAAGGGATAAAACCTACAATAAACCCTGAGCTCTTGAATTGATAGCTACTGATATCATTCTACTGATAACAATTCAATATTATCTACTTTTTATCTACTTTACTTCTTTTTTCCCCCCGGTTTCTTGTATTTTAGACGCTGGTTGCATTACATGTGGCACTATAGATTGTGTGAATATCATTACATATTTGTAATACCTTTTCCAAAGCACATATTTGTTTCTCTTGTGTGCAAATCACACACACACACACACACACACACACACACACACACACACACACACCTTCAAGTTAAGCACTTTTAAGAACTTTTCAGTTATTCCAGACCTTGAATTTAAACTGCTCAAAACTATAGTGAACATTTTTCTTACCATTTTTCTATGGCTTTTGTTTAGGTTTGGGATGGATTTTTGTCCATCATCAGCAGGGCTGTAGACTGAATGGGAATTAATTTTTCCCCAGCGCCCATAAGACTGCTCTTAATGCATTTTTTGCAGTATTTACAAGCTTTCTTCCCAGTGATTGCTTGACAGGCTTAGGACGGCTTACTTCTGGAACATCCCAATCGTCTTGAGGGCTGCTGCTCCTCAATAGGGCCTCAACGGTCGCGTCTTGGACCCACGAGATACACACCGTTTTGCCAAAGAGCTCTGAAAAATTCAGAGCCTCTAGAGCACTTTCTGCATCACGTCGATGTTTAAAGGAAATAAAACCAAATCCGCGAGAGACCTTGGTTAATTCTTTTCTGCACACATGCACAGTGGAGATAGGGCCGAATGGGATGAATACACAATTAACATGTCATCAAATTACTTGCAAGCAATGACCTCGGTGCATGAGACCTGCTCTCCTTGGGGTCATCCAAGTCGAAGCTGTTGTTTTCGTGCACTCTGCACGTCAGGAATTGCCCAAAGTATGACATGGCTTCACATACATCAGGAATTTCAGCGTGCCCATCTAGGATCGTAAACAATAAGTGATCGGCCCAACTGACATGCATTGGTCGTTTGTCCAAGAGCTCCGAAAAATCCAGAGCCTCTAAAGCATTTTTTGCATCACTGCGATGTTCAAAAGTAACCAAAGCATATCCACGACAGAAGTTATTTCTACTTCTGAACACTTGCAGAGAACAAATGGGTCCAAATGGGTCGAATACGTCATGCAACACTCATTTGTCCACAAGTGGGTGCAAATTGCTTACAAGCAAAGGCCAGCTGAGGTCAATCTGTTGAATGTTATCCTCACTAGAAGACCACTCAAAGGATACTGGCATTTTGCTATTACTATATGAAGCTCACCAATGCTGTGTACAAGTCACAACTGATATATCCGCAAATGGATGCCTCAGTCAGATCAAGTTTATCATCTAACAGCTTTGCTCCTTTTTCGTTCTAAATTCCGATGACGTCACAACTACGTCATAATAGGACATCACGTGACATGCAGCATCTGCGTTTCATAAACCGCTAAACATGATGAGGATGATTATTAGAGTCAAAGTCTTAAAATGTATAGAAAAATACATTTTAAAGGGGTCATATGATGCGATTTCAATTTTTCCTTTCTCTTTGGAGTGTTACAAGCTCTTGGTGCATAAAGAAGATCTGTAAAGTTGCAAAGACTAAAGTCTCAAATCCAAAGAGATATTCTTTATAAAAGTTAAGAGTCAGCCACGCCTACCTAAAACGGCTCGTTCTAACACGCCCCCACATGTCTACGTCACGATGTGGGAAGGTTGCTGCAAGCCCGCCGGACGCTCCTTCGTCGAATCTGCTGGCCGCCGCTCACTCAAGCCCGCCGGCCTCTGCTCACTCTAGGCCTCCGCTCACTCAAGCCCGCCGTGTGTGACAATGTGTTTTGTTGTGAAAGCGAAACTACTTTGTTTGGTCTTCCAAAAGAGGACACGACTAGAAAAAGACATTATAAGTCGTTATAATCCGTAATTATGTCCCCACCGGATGCAACAAATGTCTCGTTTATAATGGCTTTTAATGTCTTTGTCTCGTCCCTCCGGCCGGACAGGGCATCACAATATGGTAAGGGGCGTAACATTTCCGTCACACGCTTGAGGTATTCGGCCAATCACAACGCACTGGATAGCTGGCCAATCACAGCACACCTCGCTTTGTAAAAATCGAAGGGTTTCAGAAAGGCTGGGCATAGAGGAGAAACAATAATGTACAGTATGTGGAAAATAATGCGTTTTTTTAACCTTATACCGCATAAACACATTTCATTACACCAAATACACAAAATAATGTTCTTTTTAGCAACATCATATGACCCCTTTAATTTTAACGGATGTCACACATAAAAGCTGAAATTAATTTAAAGCTGTGGATTTTAATTGCACGAGCACAGAATTCACTTCCTTTTCGCGGCGTAATTACTGCGCCTGAACGGTTTATGTCAAAATATATAAGCTGTCAAAATATAGCTCTTGCAGAGTTCTCAAACTAGTTTGTTATGTCCTAACTGAACGTAAACATTGGAGGGGAGATCGGAATAATTGGATCCGTCCATATAGTGAGAGCAGGAAAAAAAAATATTATTTTAAAATGATTGAATAATAAAAAGATCAATGCATGCTTAGTTCACACTTGTATTCAATAATTTCTTACCTTTTAACCTACATTAGTCAACCCAGTATTACTTTTTGCAGCGATATGACCAATAAACTAGCAAAATCTTTACTGCTTTCTTTTTCTTTTCAGTCCTTATTTAAACTGTTTTAAACGCAAGCTAAACAAAAATACACAATAAACATGGCATGTAAAAACGTCGCTTGTCCATAAAAAAAGATTAAATGTCGTAAACAAGCCGGTGGGCTTAAGATAGCAAGCAAACCCAGGCACAGCTAACACATCAGCTAACAAGCCATTAGTTGCTAACGGGAAATATTAACATTTTATTGATTAGTATGCTATTGTTACGCGTATAACTTTGCTTCCCATGCGTTTCTGGTCACACGTGAACTACTGAAGCAGATAAATAAACAGAGTGAACGTTTACGAAGCTAGCAAACATGCTAACTGCGCCAGAGGACTTTTCCACCACTTCCACCATAACACAGGCTCGCTATATAGCTAAGATAAAATATAAAAGTGTTGTCATACTGAGTCCTTTTAGCGTTATCTGACCTGTTCGCCCCGAGTCCAGCACTCTCTCCGTCTATGTTCTCCAACATCGCTTTAGAAACTAAACACACTGCAGCTGAACGTCCTGTTGGTCAAGCACTTCCTCACACTTTCCTTCTAGGTCATTGACTGGATTTACTGGTCATTCAAATCTTTAATTAAAAAGTCATGGTATTTAAATGATTATTTATCACAATCATTAATAATCACTCACTCAATTAGAAGCACATCATGTGACATTTTTACGTTTTTACACTGTCACTAGCTTATTTTTCTGCTAAAGTGATCACAGCTAATATGATAACATTCTGTAATGTAAATTACATTTTACACGTTTTGATAAGATCCCACTTGTATTGAACTTGTATGTCCTCTGAGGGATTTTATGTAGGCTATCCTTCAATTAAATATTTCAGTTTGACTGGAAATAACACACAAATACAAATATGGTAACACTTTATTTCGATGGTCCACTTTAGACATTCTATTAACAGTAAGTAACTTTGCAACTACATGTCAACTAGCAGTTAGTAGAGTATCAGTAGACTGTCTGCTTAATATCTTCTAACACTTTCTTTGTCAACATTCTACTAACCCTAAACCTACCCTAACAGTCTACTCTGAGAGTTAGTAGACATGTAGTTGCAAATTAATGAGAATTAGTTGACATGTAGTTACAAAGTTACATATAGTTAATAGAATGTCTAAAGTGGACTATCGAAATAAAGTGTAACCACAAATATTGTTCAAAAGTAGTAGTAGTAACTTGCTTTTTTAGTTTTCTCCACACACATCTGTCATTTCATCTCAAGCAGTTCACTCACTGACATTACTGTCTCCTTGGTAAATAAATAAATAAATTAACTTAATATTAAACCTCATTAGGTCCAAAATCGTTGGCCATTGAGGGGAAATAATGCAACAGCTGGTTGCATTTTTAACATTTTAAATAATTTGTACACAATAAATATTTTTTCTAATGTACATTTTAATATTATAAGATTAAAAGTCACAATATGATGAAGGATTAATACGATCCTAAAAAGTCACAGCCATTTCCAAAATCAATATGAATTTTTATGCTTTTTTCTGAAATAACCGGCTACGGCCATTTAAAAAAAAAATGTCTCTTTAAAAAAAAAAAAAAAATCATATTCAATGATGACATGACGGTAAAAAAAAAATTAAATCTTTGAAATTCATTGATTTAAATAAATGGGAACCCTGGAAGCCAACATGCCTCCAATCGGAATTCAGCCTGATTTGTTTCAGAACAGTTCCTGAATCAGTTTAAGTCATTTCCATTGTTTATGAAAATGCAGACACTCTTTTAAGGCAGGAAATTTAAAACATTTTATTTTGTAATACAACCTCAAAAACTATTGTGGCTGTTATAAGAACCGAAAAATCAATGAGTAAGATATATCACAATGGTAACACACTCTAATGCAGTCCTGTCAAAGGAACAAACAGGAACCCAGAAGTCCAGAACTAAAGACTGTCCGTCTAATTGTCATCATGGAAGCAATATTCACAATTTAGGACAGGCGCCTCATGCCTCAGATCTTCATAGTGGCTCATGAAGTCAATGAGATGGCTAGAAGAGCTTGAACATGGAATGGATCTGTGGGAGAAAAGGAGAATTTTGTTTTCAGCCTATGAAAAGTGCAGCATTACAAATCTTTTCTAGTATAACATGTTCATTTGTGTATTTGTAATCACATTGCAAACCCAATGCAATACTAGGAAGAGGTTTTCAGAGCTTACTCTGCTGGGTAGAACTGCTGTCCAGTCATGTGGAGGTCTGCAGAGAAGATACATTGAGGAGCAGAGAGAGGACATTGATCTGTGCTGTTAAAACCTTGTTGCATCTCCATGGCCTGGTTAATGTTGGCTGACAAAAGCATTGTGATGTTTTTAGCATGAGAAGTAATTTGGCTTCATATCATGTTTAACCACCCAGCCCAGAATATTATTATTAACTAACATTAACCAGTGAATTCAACTCTTGGAGGGTTTTAAAGATCAATAGTATACCTGCGAGCTAGCTAAATTACTTTTTTATCATAATACAAATGCTCTACAGTGAATGGAATTACGTCATTACTTGTGATGTCAAAATGCAGTGGAAAAGGTCTAAAATATAATCTTGCAAAATGACTGCATTTGATTATCAACAAAAAGAACACTTCTGTTTTTATGTGTATACAATGCGTATACACTGCTGATGATGACATTTACTGTACTCTACTGTACACATAAAAACCAAAGCATACTTAGGGCTTAAGTGTCTCGCCTAACCTCATACTTTGCTTTCTTAAAGGGGTCATATGATGCGATTTCAATTTTTCCTTTCTCTTTGGAGTGTTACAAGCTCTTGGTGCATAAAGAAGATCTGTAAAGTTGCAAAGACTAAAGTCTAAAATCCAAAGAGATATTCTTTATAAAAGTTAAGAGTCAGCCACGCCTACCTAAAACGGCTCGTTCTAACACGCCCCCACATGTCTACATCACGATGTGGGAAGTTTTGCATAACGCCGCCCAAATGTTCACCCTTTAAAAGAAAATGCAGGATGAGTCGATTGTTTTTTTTTTTTTGTGGTAATCAGCGTTACGCAACAAATGTGTTCGACTGAGATTAATTTGTAATGAACCTGAAATATTCAAGGCATAAGCTATATAAATAAGTAGCAGAACCTGGAGAATTTAGACTGTTCTGCCCTCTCGCTGATGTTAGGGGCTCTGGGTAAGGGTTAGGTCTCTGTGCCCATGTCAGAATGAAGGGTGTGGAGATTTGGGTCGCAGGGACGACCGGTGGCCTTCTGGATGCGGAATGCTTCTTTTTCACTCTGCATGGCTGATAGACCCAATCTGTGTTGATGAGAATAAGACATTTAATAAAAAGTGCCTACCTGAGATTCTGCATATGCTCTTTAATGTCTTTCTCCATAGCTTACCTGGGTACTTCTCCATGTGTTGTGCCATGATTCTGCGAGCTTCTTCGTAGTATGGCTTCTTCTGCTCTTCAGACAGTTTGTGCCATTCTAACCCTAGCTGAACACTGATGTCGCAGTTGCTGGCATATGGGTTGGCCTTAGACAAGGCGGGTCGGTGGATCTTTGACCATAAGATGAAGGCATTCATGGGCCTTTTGATAGAAACTTTTTTGTTCTGAGAACTTGCCACCTCACTTTCTGCTCACAGAGACAATGAAACAAGGAAATGTCTTGTGTCATGTATATAAATATTGATATAGTTAAAAAAAAAAGTTCTTAGGAAGGAATGGAATTGTCACTGAATCAATCATTTTGCTTTTTGCTCTGGAGCTATCTTCACTATTTTGGTCTAATGAACCTTGAACCTTTTATTAATATGCAAATATACCATTTATCTTAATAGTTGTACTTTAAAATGTATATTTCAAATATAAAGTAGAAGCCTTTTTGCAGTTCTACTCCAGAACATAAAGCCTTCAAACCTACCTGCTCCAGAAGGCGGCTGAGTGAAGTTCAGACCTCGGGTATTGATCTGCACAGAAGCCTCGCTGATTGGCTCACGGTTTATTACAGACGCCGCGCTGATTGGCTGATGGGTTGCTATCGGAAAATAAGTCTCGCTGATTGGCTGATAGTTTATTTTTGGGAAAGGCGCCTCACTGGACAAATTGCAGTTAAATGACTGCGGCGTGTCTTTAACTGAGAAACCCTGAGAAATCGCGTTATCAGTGGTTAGCACCATTGAAGTTTGACCTGAGGAATAAAGTGGAAATGTAACCCAGTCGGCGTTGTCCTGTTTAACCCCAACATCTTCTGTTAATGACCTGTTGATCGAGTTAAAACCTTCATCTTGTGGATGATCTTGTCTGTGAGTTGTCAAGCTGTTAACTTCAGTTGGTTCACTGACTCGTTGAGCTTTGACAGCGGGGATCGTGACAGGAGGACCGGGTTTCTTCCAAATACAATTTTCTTCTGTTTTGGCACATTTTGGTACCGGTTCATCGTTTCGGAACCTCTTCTTAGCTCTCATTTTGGGGTGTTTATCCATTCGCTTGTCAGTATGTCGTAAGTTAACAGTAATGTTCGTGGAATGTTAAAAAATGACACTGCAAGCTCCAGCGTCCTTTAAAAAAACACAAACAAGCATCACGTGACCACGCGAATACAGAAAACACGGACGTAGAATACTTTTATTAAAAACGTGCATTCATAAAAGAATCCACATATTTATTTTAAAACGCTCTATTTCACTTGATACATAATTAGAAGGTTTTGATATCAATTCAATATCTAGTGGTACAAACGTGCACAATATATTTTCAGTGTATTTTCGTAACTCCTTGTAAATATTCACCTCTAAATTATAGGGTGATTTAGGTAATTTGGGACACTATTTTCCATTGAAATGACAATAAATGACTAATAAACCGGAATATTTCTATATACAATAACAATAAAAAATATTAGTGCTGTCATATATATATACATTTTAAAGGGGTCATATGATGCTGCTAAAAAGAACATTATTTTGTGCATTTGGTGTTGAAATGCACCAACAATACTACAGCGAGAATAAAAGTTATGCCTTCTTTCTTTGCGTGAACATTTGGGCGGTGTTATGCAAATCTTCCCACATAGTGATGTAGATATGTGGGGGTGTGTTAGAACGAGCCGTTTTAGGTAGGCGTGGCTGACTCTTAACTTTTATAAAGAATATCTCTTTGGATTTGAGACTTTAGTCTTTGCAACTTTACAGATCTTCTTTATGCACCAAGAGCTTGTAACACTCCAAAGAGAAAGGACAAATTGAAATCGCATCATATGACCCCTTTAATTAATGCATATAAGTTAAAAAAAAGTGTATAATAATTTATTCAGAGATCGCCATGAAAATAGCCTTCATGCTGGCATTGTGTTAAAAAGTGAATAAATAAATAAATAAAAAGTGTACAAGTTTGAAAACGAGCAAAGGCATTTCAAAACAGAAGCAGATTAGTGCTATGTGAATAAAATAAATACAATTGAAATCGAATCAAACAGTTTCAACAGTAGATGCCTGTTTAGTCATATTCACATACAAATAGGTTTTGCTGAGAAAAGTGTTGTCAGGCATAATTACATCCTTTTATTAGGTTTTGCATTTGGATATATTTAGACATGATCAAATACTACCTTTTGTCAAGGTGTAGATTATTTCTTTTTTTAAATGTTGTTGACTTTTCTGGCTCTAACCTGTAAACAGTTTGAAACACAGCTTCACTTCAACAATTTCAATAACTTGATCTCACTCTCTCTGAACATTTTTTTTTTCACAGATGTTACCAAAGCCCTTCGAATTAGAATAAATACAAATAACATCATAATATACAATATCAATAAAATCTAAATTAGAATATATATAACATTTTATCAGCCTTACATTTAGGGTCAAGTCAGGTTTGCCCCCTCCAAAATTTACCCCCTTAACTTTCTAAAGCCTGACATTTGAAATAATAATTAGAAACTAATCTGATGAATCTGTATTACTGTAAATTAGTCAGATTTTATAACAGTATAACAGACTGCTTACATAAAATGCATATACATATGAGTTGTCACTCTATATCTCCCAATAACTGTTATAAGATGAAATTTAATTGTGGGAGGCAAAACATATAATGCAATAAAATACAGTGATGACTGAGAGATGTACAAATAAATGTTCCTCAAAAGCCTGATCATATTTGATACGTTTTAACATGAGTTTTCAGAAAAATGGATAATCAGGTAAATTTAAGTTTAAGTTGAATCTTGAAATATTACTCTTGAAATCTCTGATCTTGAAATATTATTCTTAAGTTTACTAAAAATCTACTTAAATATTAGAATCTACTAAAATCTGAAAAGATTTTACAGCAGAAAGACATTTTCAAAATGATACTAAAAGGCCTTTTACTACTAAAAAAGTATGAACTATCAATCAAAAGGACAGAAGGCATGTAATGATTGTATGAAACAGTTTTTTCTCCCATTTTTGTACATGTTGATAATTTAGAGATAATTTAAAACAAGATACATTAGACTTACAATAGAGGGAGCCACAGGACAGGACATTAATGAATGCAGGCCATTTCCATTATTGCACAACTCATCCTCAAAAGTGGATCAAGTAGATTATTGAGATGCCAAGATACTTCAGATAAGTTGTCATAATACCAGATTCTCTACTGTAAAAATCAAAGCACATTATATTTTTATAAGCTTTTGATAAACATCTTCAAATAGATGAACTATTGAAATCACCTCTTCGAATTGTAGCACTACTAATTCTTTAAAAGAAATGACAGGTATTATCCATCTATGCATCTTAATTTTAAGTTTTAAGACAGAACCAAGAAACATACTTTTAGGAACAATATCAACTATTGACTAATGAGAACGCTAAAAGTCTAGACACCATTAAAGTCACAAAGGCAGCTTTTGATGAAATTGTTTAATGTCAAAGTTTCTCAGTACAATAAAATCAAAAACTGAAATCTGAAAAGAAACTAAATCAAAGAGGCGCTCGATTTCATGTTTCTCTTTACATTTGCATAAACTAAGAAGTGTTTACTCGATTCACACGTCTAGAACAATGTATATATATATGCACAGGATCTCTCTGTATAATGTTAAGTATTAAAATAAGAAACTAAACCACTATGGAATAAATCTAAATAGTAATAAAATAAAGATTTGGTCATTTTGAACATAATGCCTCAGTGCCTGATGGAGGGCCCCTTGTAAAGCAGCTTGTGAGAAAATGGACAAAACCAAATGTTAAAAGAAAGAAAAAAGTGACAAGTAAACTTCATTTGGGGTTCACAATGCCTTCATCGATTCCATAGCCATCCTGGACAAACATTTCATAAATTTAACACTGACCCGCAACAATGCTTGAAACTGTAAAATCGACACATGCAAGAAAAGGATATAACGGATATGACTGTTATTATGAGGCATTATAAATACCAATTCAAGTAGTTACTAGAAATGTGTAACACTACTCCTGCTACCGCCAAAGCACTGATTTGTGCGGCTTCAGATGACAAACTCAAGGGAAGAGACCCCTAGAAATCTTCACATTAAATGAACGTATGTAGCACTATCCCCATCCATATCATTCAAGAATGTAATGGCTTTCGCTTTTCACGCAACACATCCTCTCTAAGACAGTTTTGGATTCATCAAGTATGGTTAATAACCTTCACACACATTTGTGTTATTAAAAAGGTGGCCATTTCACAGGCAGGCACACTTCAAATTACGGTCAGGTAGCTTGCTACACAAAAGTACTCAAACTATATCTACAGATATAGTCTGTTTTTTTTTTTAAAAAGAAGAACAAAGTTGACCATATTCATCTAAATAACAGGTGCTGGAGTGATAACGGAATATAAGGAGTGACTGTATATCTGACAAACTGTAACGATTCAAACCGAAAACAAAAACATGAGTAAATATTAAGGACCTGTGGTAAACTGTTCTATCTTATACCGTCTGAGAAGTGAGTAAAATCATTTATTTTTTGCACACCAAGATATTTACAAATCAACCCTTTGAGGCCTTTAAATCACAGCATGAATAATGCAAATTATGAGGTAATTTCTGAAATCAGTCGTATTTGAAAAGTGAACAGGGCCGTGATGAAAAAAAAAAAAAAAAGTGTCTGATGTTTCTGTTGTGAGAGAAAAATGTACCAAACTGCACACAGTCATCATTTTTCTTTAAAAGTATATAATATGCTTTGCACCATTTACAAAAAAATCCACCCTTTGATTATCAACCCCACATGAAAGAAAAGCAGATTCTTGTGTGTGTGTGTGTCTCTCTGTATCTGTTAACGAATAAGGACAAATGATTGAAGAGTCATGACACCGGCTAGTTTTGTCAGTTTTGTCCATTTTACTGGATGCAGGCTTCTTCTATTGAGGTGTATTTGGACCGTTAACCCTCTTGGAGTGATTCACCCTTCATTTCCCAAAGTTGCCAAAGTTTGCAAAGGCATCTTGTTTAGGTTGCACCATGGCGGGGTTCATGCCCTGGCCAATCCCCATGCTGGGCGTGCCCAGGGCACCTTGCAGGCCTATTCCAGCGGGCATCATATTCATGCCCACGAGTCCTTGATTGATAGGCATTCCTCCGATACCCACAGAGCCCATTCCCATGGTGCCCGTCGCCATAGTAGGAGGCATTCCCATGCCCATGGTCCCCCCCGCCATCATGGGGTTCACTCCCGGTCTGGGAGCGGCCGCCGAGGGCTGGGCATTCAGTGTCATTCCGGCGAAATTCTGGGCGACCGTGTTCAGTGGTGGCTGGACACCTAAATGAGAAATATATTATAATTACAATATGAATAAACAATACATGCAATTGCTTATGACTGTGGATTACCTCAAAGAACAAACTTTTATCAACTCAAGGCAGGACAATCTGATCTGAATCATGAAGATCATTGTCAGAGTAGAAGTACAGGTGCATCTCAATAAATTAGAATGTCGTGGAAAAGTTCATTTATTTCAATAATTCAACTCAAATTGTGAAACTTGTGTATTAAATAAATTCAATGCACACAGACTGAAGTAGTTTAAGTCTTTGGTTCTTTTAATTGTGATGATTTTGGCTCACATTTAACAAAAACCCACCAATTCACTATCTCAACAAATTAGAATACTTCATAAGACCAATAAAAAAACATTTTTAGTGAATTGTTGGCCTTCTGGAAAGTATGTTCATTTACTGTACATGTACTCAATACTTGGTAGGGGCTCCTTTTGCTTTAATTACTGCCTCAATTCGGCGTGGCATGGAGGTGATCAGTTTGTGGCACTGCTGAGGTGGTATGGAAGCCCAGGTTTCTTTGACAGTGGCCGTCAGCTCATCTGCATTTTTTGGTCTCTTGTTTCTCATTTTCCTCTTGACAATACCCCATAGATTCTCTACCAAGAATCTATGGGGTATTTCCACCCTTCCTCCAGACTCTAGGACTCTTGGTTTCCAAATGAAATACAAAACTTGCTCTCATCTGAAAAGAGGACTTTGGACCACTGGGCAACAGTCCAGTTCTTCTTCTCCTTAGCCCAGGTAAGATGCCTCTGACATTGTCTGTGGTTCAGGAGTGGCTTAACAAGAGGAATACGACAACTGTAGCCAAATTCCTTGACACGTCTGTGTGTGGTGGCTCTTGATG